TTTTTCGAAAATTTAAAGGTGTTTCTGATATACTAAAACTTTTGAATAACTTAAATTTAATTTGATGAGAGTTTCTATATGTCTATTATTTTATAAAAATTTATAAAGTTTTAATTTAATTATTTTTGATAAGATTAATTTAAATTGTATTTTAATGCAAATCTCTCTGTTGCCCATTTGTTGAAATCACGTAATGTGGAAAAGATTACAGGTACTCGAGCAAAAGTCAGCAGCCGAATACCAGAAACATCTTTTCGACCGTCGGCTCACCCAAGTGAATAATTGCTTCTCATTTCTTTTTTTACTCGCCAATTTCGGCCTTTTAATTGTTGCCATTAATAAATAGTGCATAAAAAGTAAGTAGCACTAATAAATATCAATATAAACGCAAAAGAAATCATAAATATCCCTATGATAATAAAAAACCAAAAAAATCAATTTATGGTTGTTCCAACAACAATTAAACGCCCATCGAAGCGCTCACCATGACCTGATTTTCTGAAACATTATTTCGAAATTTTGATGCCAAAAATTCTTAAATCTGTATATGTTAACATCGGTTATTCGTTTCACATTTCATTCGAACATTTGATTCGATTAACTCTCCCGAAAAAGCGAATAAAATAATCCTTTCGCATTTTCATTTTCTGACTAATGGGCCTTTTCATTGCTATCATTAATTACTAGTGCATAAGAAGTACATAGTGCTACTAAATAATCAATCAAAACGAAAGATCTATGAAATAAAAAATTTAACAACGAATTTCTGGTTTCACCCTAAACGTCACTATATTGCGACTATCAAAACGCCCACAGCAACGAAATTTTTTGAAACATTGCTCGGAAATTTCGAAAATTCTTAAATTTTTCGCGAAAGCTGTCTGTTATTCATTTCACATCCGATTCGGTCATTCGATTTTTGCGGGTCCGATTTTTGCGATTATCTTTACCCGATCCTAAATAAAAATAAGCCTTTCTCATTTCTCCATTTACTGGCTAATGGACCTCTTAATCGTTGCCATTAATAAACAGTGGTGAAAAAGTGAATAGTGCAAATAACATAAAATAAACGAATATCAATCATACTCAAAAACCGCAGAAAAACTGTGAGAGAAAAGGAGAAACTATTGCGTTACCAAAAGTGTTCACCACAAGCTGATTTTCTGAAACATTCTTTCGAAATTTGGCGACGGAATTTCTCAAATTCTAGGGAAAAACCGTCTGTTATTCATTTCACAATTGAGTCGAACATCGAATTTCATCGATTTGATGCGAATAACCTTACCGGAATAGAACGAAAAACAACTTTCCATCTCTCATTTTACTGCCTAATTTCGGCCTTTTAATTGTTGCCATTAATAAATGGTTTAAGTCAAATCGAAATTTTTAAAGCCCTACTAATAAACATCACAGAAAACGATTAATTACTGACCCTTCACTGCGACTATTGAAACGCTGACCGCAACCTGCTTTTCTGCAACATTGTTTCGACATTTCGTGGCGGGAAGTTCTTAATTTTAGATGAAAACCGTCTTTTTATTCTTACTACAGCTTTCTCGAACGTTCTCATAAAATGAATTTAAAAATAGAATAAATTCAAATGAAATCGAAAATTTAAGATTCGTGCTTACGTATTCTTATCAGCGCAAATGAATGAATTCCTGGCTTCACTTCGACAACAATGGATTGCAACCAGGGTTGTTCACCGACGGACCCGGATCGGTAAGGATCCGGATCGGATCTGGATCCGGATCCGGATCGGATCCGCAGTAGGATCCGGATCCAGATCCAGATCCGGATCCGCTCGGATCCGGATCCAATGCGGATCCGAGGAAAAAAGGGACCGGAAGTAATATTCTCGATTCTGATGCTGATTCGGTCATGTTAATCGCAAAAATACATCGCCCAGAGGCAGAACTGATCTTTGCATCTACGGATTAGCACTTAACTCGGTTGCATGATCCATTTCCTTGGATCCGGATCGGATCGGATCCGCCCTGGATCTGGATCCGGATCCGATCCAGATCCAGATCCGGATCCAGTCCGATCCGAAAATGACCAACCCTGATTGCAACTATCGAAGCGACCAACCCAACATAGTTTTCTGAAACATTGTTCCGAAATTTACCGGGCTGAAAACTCTTAAATTTAAAAGAACACTATCAGTCGTTTCACATTTGATTCGCACATTCGTATTCAATATATTTAAAAATTAAAATGCGTCAAAATCAGATCAAGATTTAAAAATTCGTCAATTCGTATTCGCATAAAAATATCGGATAATTTCCTAAACTTTTTTAATTTTCGCTATTTGCAATTTTTACATTTTAGATTAAGGCATCTGCAGTACGTTGGAAAAAAGTACTTTTATTAAGCAGACGTTTTAATAAAACATCGATTCTTAGGTTTCATGATATTCGTATCGGCTCATCAAAAATTAACGAGGATTTATGTTAGTTTTATACCTTCCCATTTCTTCCGTTCCTGGCTTATTTTTTTCCGATTAATTGTTGCCATTAATAAATAGTTAAGGCCAAAAGTTAATTTTTATAGCCATGCTAGCAACAACACAGAAAAAAAAATAGCTGGCTGTACGCTGAAACAAATAAAATCGTGAACTCTGGAGCGCTTTTGCGCAACATAATTTTCAGAAACATTGTTTTGAAATTCTAAACTGACCGAAAAATGGTTCATTTCAAATTAAAATTGTAGTAGTATTGCTTTTCCCGCTCTACAAATAATGGATTCATAAACTCGAAATATAGCAAATCACGAAATCACCAAACTTTATATAAATTTTGAACCACAGAACTGGACACTGGTAATTCGTAGAAAATAACGAGTAATTTATGTTAGTTTCAAAGCTTCGCATTGCTACTTTTAATGGCGAATTTACGCTCTTAAGTTGTTGACATTAATAATTTGTGTCAAACTAAACAAAATAGCTTTAATGTAATTCGCTTTGTTCATATAACAAGCATAAAACGATCAATTTCTGGCCATAACCGAGCGATTGGATTTGGCGACTATCGAAGCGTTCGGCCCTGAAACTTGTCCCTAATTTTTATGAAACATTGTTTTTAAATGACCATAAACAAATAGTAAAACAATTGGCTGAACGCTAGAAGGAGATAATATTGCCAACATTGAAGCGCTTTTGCACAACATAATTTATAGAAACATCGTTTCGAAAGCATTTTCCAGGGCCTTGAAGTGATTCATTTCCAAAGTATAATTGTTGTGGTTCGTCAGACCTCTGAATTTCTACTTTTAATGGCGAATTTCGGCCCTTCAGTTGTTCCCATTAAAGGGCTGCCGACGGCATGTGTCGATCCCCCCATCAACAAATTGGCAAGTAGCCAACAGGGCAGAGAGCGCGCTCAGGGGAGAGGCGCAGAGACATTTTCTTTCCAGCGCGTAACCGATTGATTATGCCGTCGGCATCCCTTTAATAATTTATTTAAATCTAAACAAAATCATCATAGCTCTGTTCATATAACAAACATAAAAACGATCAATTTCTGACCATAACCGAGCGATTTGATATTGCGACATTCGAAGCGTTCGGCCCCGACTAACTTTTATGAAACATTGTTTTTAAATCCCATAATCAAATAGCAAAACAATTGGCTGAACGATAGAAGGAGATAATCTGTGAATATTGAAACGCTTTTGCGCAACATTTTTTAGACACATTGCATTGAAATATCTGGGTCTTGAAGAGATTCAATTTATAATTAAACCAGCGCCCAAAACCCGCTTCGCGGGCCATGGGCGCTGGAATGCGGCCTTTGCATGAAAAGTTTGACTTTCTGATAGCTCGGGTCCTGCGGACCCCCGCCCCGACCACATACGCGAGTGCAACTGGCAAGAATGAAGAAGTTTGTATTTTTCGCATTATGCTAATTAGCCTTCAGGTACCCCCAAAAATGAATAAAACCGCCTTTAACTTTGTAAACTTGTATTTTATCGAAATTCTGAAAACGCCATCGGAAACAGAATGGTCGATTCCCCCGGGTGACGGAGAATTGAGGCGTTTTGGACACGGGAAGGCCCTCAAATCGGGCCTCGAAAGTGACATCCACACACACACACACACACACATACACTCCAAAATTATATAAGGTAGGAATTGTGGCAGTATTCTCGATCATCTGAATAGTGCAAAATCGATTCAAAAACGATATATTAAATGACCAAATTTTGAAACATCTAGCTGGCCATCGGTAATTGGTAAAAATAACGAGGAGTTTATGGTAGTTCAATATCTTCGCATTTCTTCTTTTGGTAACGAAGTTGGGCCTTTAATTGTTGCCATTAATAAATACTAGTTTAGGTCGACGGAATTGTTATAACTATGCTGATAAAACAAACAGAAAACGATCGATTTCTGAGCGAACATCGAAACTGCCGATTGCGACCCTCAAAGCGCGCGACGAACGTATTTTTTTTGAAACATTGTTCTGAAACTTTCCGGCTTCTATTTTCTAAATTTCACAGACAAATCTGAGTTACTGTTGAAAAAGAGCCATTAATATCAATACATTTATTGGGGTTTGAAAATGGTTCTTCTGGGCAAAATTGTTCGAAGTATTTTTTTACGAAATGGGACTTTCCATGTTTGCGATATCTCCAGAACTACCTAGCGATGTAATAGTAAGTATTTTCCTAATATTTAGCAAATAAACCTTCTTTTAAGTAGAAAAACAAACATTATTTTCAATCGAAAATTGGCTATTTTTGGTCGAAAATCGGCATTTTTGTAGGTCCTAATCAAAATTTTGTAAGGTTATTACAATTAGAAAAAAAGCAGTTTCGAAACAGTTGTTCTATTTTAATTAGAGAAATTGGATCCTTAAAAAATAAGAAAAATTAATTTTGGTACCGTGTAGTGTATCTTATTCTCTTGTAAACTTTATACAACACGTACCCGATCTCGAATCACGAAATTCTATAGTTATAATCTAATTTAAGAAATATGTTTCATCAAAAAAACGCTATAAAGGCGTAAATTCGTCAATCTGGTCAATCAGCTCGCTTTTCCGGACTTTTCCATTCGAAAATTTGGGGTGAAATCCGTTGGTTTTCGGCTTTTCGGCGATTCCCTCAATTTCCGCATATTTCCCCAGCCACGACACGTCCTTGCCGATTCTGAAACATTTTTATTCATTTTTTAATTAAGCAATGAATATAGTTCTAAATTTAATTTAATTATAATTATAATTTATTATTATCTAGGTTATTAATTCAGATTAAAAATATTTGAATTTCACATTTAAAAGTTTATATAAATTATAAAGATATAAATTAAGGCGTAGCCGATTCTTCAAACTTTTCAGAGTCTGGGTAATCTTAGATTTAAAATAGCTAATTTAATGCCAAAAATTATAAGCCATTGCGATTTTGGCAATTTTAATTGTTATTTTTAATTTTGCAATATATTTTTGGTAGATTGATTTCAATTTTTTAATTATTTGTAGACTAATGGAATCAAAGGTGCTTGCTGTGCAGTTTAGTAACTATAGACGGATTTCTTTTTGACGAGATAGAGATGAAACATCGACTCGATAAGATGGTTTGCCGTCCGATACCTCATTTTTCGGGCTTTGTAGTTGTAATGAAGAACATAGTTTTTAATGTTAACTAGGCTAAATAATATCGTTAGAAACGTTTATTATCCCAAAATCTATTAAAGTTCTGTTTAATAATCAGTTCCACTAGGGTCTCGTTTAAAATTCAGCGATGAAAAATAAAGTTTCAAAAAATAATATGCCGCAATATAATTGGTTTTGCATAATTGCTTGAGTGCAAATTTACCGCAAAATGATGCGTTCCCATTTGGGGATCGTTGATGTCGGGTCGCGCAGCTTCCGGATTTTTCGCCACCTGAAATTGTTTTAAAGTAAAAAACAAGAAAGATCATAAAATATAAAAAATATTATTTAAATAGATAAAAATCCCCCAAATTTTTTTTGAGCCACGAATGGGTAGCCCTAGATCCCATAGTTTACTGGATTTTGCTTGTTTTGTCAAAAATTTTATTTTTATTTTGGTATTATTTTAGCCTCAAATTAAAAATATGGATGTTTTTTTCGTTGCTTTATCGAATGGCATTTCGTAATTTCGTAAAAACAAAAATATGTGGAAAACAACACCGGATAGAAATTGGTGATGAGGAAAAAGAGCCCAGACCCCACTGCCTCGAAACATGTGGTTTTATCAAATTTACAATTCCCGACTGTTTACGAATGGCGCACGATATCTTACTTTTTAGTTGCATATTTAAAATATGGATTTTTATGGTCGAAAGTATATCTTTTCAAACTATGAAATTTACAGAATTTATTCATGTTTTTAATTTATTTTAGTTGTTATTATCAAGCGTTTTACTAATTTTTATGAAGTAAATTGTTATCCTGTTAATACTTGGCGAAATCTGTTTTGCAAAATAACCGGCCTGAACGCTAAAATTAGTGGATTTTGATTTGATTTGGAGAAACGTGAGAAAGCATCCGCTTCTCGTAAAAGATTTTTTAGTCCTTAAGTGGGATTTGTCTTGATGGATTTGATTTTTTTATTAAAAATAATTGTAAAACATAATAAATAAACCCACTTTTCTAGTCGATACAAAATCAGATCCTCGATGACAATCTTGTTGAAAAGGTAGGAGACTCCGCAGCAGGCGGCCGCTAGAATTTTTGATTGAAATTATTTGAATTTATATTTTTGGTTTTTACTGTATTATATTATTTTTTTTTACTGTTTACTTTATTATATTGTTCAAATTTTTCGATCCATTTTAAGTGGTACCCTTTTAATCATAGTGGGAAAAACATGTTTCATCCATAATACTACATTTTATGTGTATCAAAGGACAATTGGAAGAGAATCAGAGGGCAAAAATTGTGTTAGTCAGTATCCTTAAATTTTAAAAAGACGCGGGATGAAAAGACTGCAATTTTTGGCTATCGATTATACAAGGGTGTTCAGATCCCTGAATAATTTCTTTTGGAAACACAGAAATAGTTGATGCGTTGCGTGTTGCGGCGCGGAAAAGCCCATAAAAATCCATCAGCAACAAGATTTCTGGAAGTGCCTTGATCATTCCTTTAAATGAGACTACAAACTAGAGCAGTAAAAATAAGAGCTTTTATTCTCGTCGCTTTCCGGTTTCTTTTAAATGGGGCTGGCATGGAATATCTATCCATTTTTTAAGTACCGTGGATCCCGTGGTTTCCGAGCCGTGGCACGCGAAACGGGCCTAACCGATTACCCAATTTAAAAAGCGATCGTACGTGTTGCATGTCGCGACGCGGGAAATGCACAAGAAATCTATAGCCAAAAATTCACAGAAAGTCGGGTAAAATACCTTTTAATGAATAAAATAATCATTGAATAAAAACTATGCTAGAAGCTACGAAAAACGTACAAACCACCACCACGAATAGTCGATCTTCAAAGTAGGGTATCGGGTCGTACTCGAGGAAGCTGATCACCCATCCGGCCGGCCACAGCGTAATGTACAGGGAAACCTGTAAAAAATAGTGTGTTCCAAAAATTCGACAAGTTGTGAACTATATTTATTGGACAATAGCATCAAAACAGGTTTCAAAAAAATGAAAAGACTATTTCAGCCAAATTTTATTTGACAAGATTTAGTATGATTAAAATCTCTTAATCTCTTTCGATGGCCCAGGTCTTCTAGGAAAAGTGTTTCACGGCATCTCCGAGGGCCGCCCAGATCAATGTAATTAATCGATTGCGCCACTTTGGCACCCTATTTGCCAAAAATGGTTTCGAACAAGACATATAAAAAAGCTTTAATTTTGCTAATGACTAAGACTTTTTATGTATTAATTTAATCTCAAAATTAGTTATTATCGTAATTTTTAAAGAATTGAACACACTGAACGAATTCAACATCTTTGAAATCGCATGTTTCGTGCAAAATACATGGAACGATGCTGATTTATTCCTCACTGGGTTCCATTTAGTAACGAAACTGATATTTTGACGGCCGGTGGGATTGCGCACTTTTTAAAAACATTTTTTCTTGTAACAAGTAGCCATGCTAAATTTTGATTATTTCTTTTTGGATTAATCAAAAGGCCGTTGTCCGAAAACTTTACACGATTTTAAAATTTTCCTTTTCATATTGATGAGAGGCAATTTATTAAAAATTTTCTGGGGTTGGTATCTAATCTATCCTACTATATATAAAAAAATTGTTGTGTGTGTGTCTGTGTGTGTGTGTGCCACTTTGCATCCACTTCCGTCTGTCTGTCCGGAGGATATCTCAAGAAGGGACGGGCATTAGGCTACGTATGATACGTCATTAGGTGCGTAATGGTCTAGGGATGACTGCACACATATCAGATTTTTAAAAATTAGCCATTTTCGCTATTAAATTTAGGTTTTTGTTAAAGCCTCTTTGTTAGGGATAATTAGCATAGACCGGAAGTGGGTGGTCGCCTATATAAAGAGGCAGAAAAGGTTGTTTTCATTTTTTTTTGTCTTCTGATTGAATGGAGGACAATTATGCAAGGGGAATAGTATGGGGTCCGAGACTGTAAGGCACAGGGTTGAGAAGCGGCCTTTTCAACCCTGGTCTAAGTTTATAAAAAAATAGTGTTTGTGTGTGTGTCTGTGCCACTTTGCATGCAACTTCCGTCACCGTGTTCCAGTAGTATCTCAAGAAGGGAAGCACTTAGGGGTATGTTCGATACGTCATTAGGTGCGTAATGGTCAGGAGATGACTGCACACACATGATATTTAACAAAATCACCTATTTTCGCTATTAAATTTAAGTTTTTGTTGCAAAATTGGAGACTCTCTTTGTTAGGAATCAATTAGCATGCGCCGGAAGTGGCGATCGCCTATATGACGGGAAAGAGGCAACACTTTTCATTTTTTGCTTATCGGAATCCAGGAAAATCATGCAAATTGGAGAATATCCTAGGGGCAGACGGGGCCAGGGTTGAAAAGTCGCGAAGCGGCTTTTCAACCCTGGTCTAAGTTTAAAATTTAAATTGAAATCAGCGAAAATTCCAGAGATTTGCAAGTCCATTGCGATCGTTGATTGGCCTTTCGACCCTCAATTTTCCTGCTCACTTTTTGAAAACATATTATTTTTCGCCGAAAAATCACCCTACCGCCGTGGTGAGGGCGATGGCGAAGCAGAGCATCTTGTTGTTCAGAATCGTCTGCCGATATGGGGCCGCTAAATCCAATAAATTCTATTGAATTTATTATTTGCTTTAAATTTATAACTACAAATAAAATTATTGGATGTTGCGAAATGTCCTGAAACGTTCATTGCGATAAAATGTTTCTAAAAAAATATTACGGCGTTGCCAGGTTTTCCCTTTATTAATGGTGCTACATTCGCTAACCCTTGATCATATAAAAATTATCTCTGACACAATTAAAAGAATTGTTTATTTTTGGTCTACATATTGCAGGTATTTTCGATACTAAAAATATGTTTTAGAACAAAAATAATTTTAAATTTATGATTAAATTGATATACAAAATACATAAAATTTAACCTCGATATTTTAACATGTTTTAGTACATTTTTAACATGTGACATTTTAAAAAGGATGTAAACAAAAATTAATACATCCATAACGCCCATTTTCAAACATCCACGCGAAATATGTTTCAAAAATAAACCAGTGTCCCCCTATACGATCCTACATGATTACTCGGTGAGACCATTTTTAAAAACAGTCAAATAATTTTCAAATTTTGAAAATTTTTATTCTGTTCTGGTGATCTTTTATAAAGTTTAATTTAATGCAAAAGTTACATATATAAATTTTTTTGGGTGTTTTATATATCTAAAGGCTGGGCAAAATGTCATTAAAATGGCATTTCGTTAAAGGACCGTACATCGTTACTGTGAAAAAATCGGCTGCCGCCTCCTCCTCCCGATAACAGTCTAGTAAAATTTTCAGAATGTTAATGGATCGCTTTTTAGATATTTTTAAAGCATCCTGCAATTGTTTAGAAGATACCTTTACTATACAGGAAGGCCAGGACAATGTATTGAAACAAGGAGAGGCACCACGTCGCGGTTCCCTGAAAATAACGTGTTTCATAAATTTGTGCAATTTTTTAAAGTTATGGAAAATAATTCAGAGTAAACCGCCTTTTTCAATATTTTCTGAAATAAACGCGATAAATTAGGCAGTTCCAAAAAACTGTACGGGCTCAAAACTCTAAAAAATACATTTTAAAAGGTCACGGTAAAAATTACAAGAAATGTGTATAAACTTTTAAACTTTTAAACTTTTAAAAACTTGCTTTTTAGAGTTTTTAAAAAGCTGCAAAACTTTTAAAAACGAACCTGATGTGAGCGTAGATCGGAATCTGAATAGTCTTCTTGCAGAATATTCATAAAAAACCACGGTTGCCGCGTCACCCACACGTAGATGAAGAACTTAAAAACTTATTTTTATCAGTATTTAATGTGTTTCATCGTTTTTTAAAAATCACGTCAATTAACGCAAAGAGATAAAATGTCTACTTCAAGAAATCTCCAAGAACGGTTTGTTGAAAAGGTTAGTTTCAAGCCAAATATGTCTTGGCATAAATAGTTTTCTTTGGATAACAGACGAGTTTTAAAAAATCCAAAATGCAAAAAATTTCGACGTTCGAAAACTAGTTGAAACGAAGCTCTGAAATATCGCTGTTCCAAATCCATGTGAAACGTAATTCTACCAACCTTCTTTTAGGAAAAGCGAAAAATACATTTCAAAACCTTGGTTTCAAAGAATTTTGGGAAGAGTTATGACCGGGATATTTTAATGAGGCTCCTAGTATCGCATTTACTATACGATACGATAAGCTACGGTCCGCTGCGATAATACGATAGCTACATTGCGCTACGCTACGGTATGCTACGTTACGCTACGCGACGATAAGCTATGGTACGTTACGCGACGATAAGCTATAGTACGTTACGCTACGCAACGATGCTGTATGCTCCTGTACGATACAGTATGCAGCGGTACGGTCTGACGGATTGGATAAGCTACTAAACGAGGTACGATAAGATACGTTGCGCTTCTTGACGGCTCGATAAGCTACGTCACGCTACAATGCGATATACTACGATTTGATAAGGTAAAGCCACTCAACGATAGGCTACGAACCGCTTAGCTATACACCACGTGATGCTACGGTAGGATACTCTGCGTTCAGCTACGGTACGATACGGCACGGTGCGATACCATACGCAACAATAGGTTACTATATGATCTGATACGCTACGATACGCTACGATCCGTCACGATACGACACGACATAGGGGTGAAACGATACGCTATGGCACGCTACGCTACGATACGCTAGGATACGCTATGGCACGCTACGCCACGATAAGAATTGGTACGCAACGCAACCCTACGCTAAGATACGGCTTAGAAACGCTACGACAAGCTACGCTATGCAACGTTACAAACCTGCGCTGCCGCATAAATAGTCATCTGGCCGACGACGCTGACCACTGAGGCGATGGAGAGCAATTTTGTTGGTGGCGGTATCCGAGCCAGGTAGTCGCCTGGAAAATGGGGATAAATAATTACGGAGGGTAACTGAAATTTTAAAAGGAAAAGGGCGTCTCATCTAGTTCAAGCCGTAATCTACAAATTTTCAAAAGCAAAGTGTTTACGCTATGCAAAAAACGGGGCGAGAAGGAGCGCAGGTAGCTTTTAATGCGAATCTATACCTTTAAAAACGCAAAAATTTTGTAAAATCTTCCTGTTCTTTTCAGAATGCTTGTTTCAATTGGCGTACTAATCCAACGCCAAGTTCCGTATTAAAAATGCCGAAATTTCCTGCTTTTTGACTACGATGGGCTAGTTATTCTGACTGCGCCTTACTTCCATCTTGATTATCAGCTACGAAGGTCGCCTGTTTACAAATCAAACTTGAAACCCTGGCTATTTCGAAAAAGTTTTGTTAGTAGAAAAATGATGTTCCAGGCACGTATACTAAATTCGCAGTACATAAAATGGTTTTCCACGAATTTTTACATCTTCCAGCAAGTCGCAGCTATCAACCAAATTGGGATGCTCAAAAAAATCCATCGCATGGTGATTTTCAGAAAGTTTTCGAGCAAAATGTTTCGCGAAAAGCCGTTGTCCTGCACCTTGAATGCATTGCAATTCGTACTCCGTTTATGCCGCTTGTGTTCTTCGAACTGTCACATCTGCCTTGCGGGGGACGTTTCATAGTATCGACGGAGGTTCGAAATCAGATCAAGCCTATTTTGTGCAGAATTTATCGCTGCTTTGGACCTCGTTTTTAGAATCTGCGAAACGACCAAATCCCAGAAGTTCTGCAGCTTTAAAGTATGAAAAAAGCCTAACAAGGCCAACTTTTGCCGTTTTTCGCCCTGTTTAAAGCGTCATAACTTTCCTATTTAAGCGACGTTTATTGGAAAAAACCAAAGATGCGGCGCGGCCGGGGGTCGAACCCGGACCCCCCGCTCGTGAGGCGCGGATGCATACCAGTCAGCCACAGCCACAACCTGGCGGGGGATGAGGCGCCCCACGCCGCCAGGAGAGAAATTGCTTCCCACGGCAAGGGCAGGCGGTGCGCGCGGTCCCTATGTCCATAGGGTGTACACGTTGGACTGAGTACACGGCCCCTCCCTGAACGTGCGCTTTAAACAGCGGAAATCCTGCACAAACAGGCTTGGTCCCCATTTAAACCACGTGTACACTAAAAAACGTCTCCTTGTTAGGGCAAGAACATCAAAATGCGATTTTTTAAAAAAATGTTTAGGAAAATTTCCTTGTTTTGCGCTTTTGGACGGGCGCAATGCCTGACATCTTTTCGGCTCGGAATCCGTTATATGCCTGCTTTTCACGCTGGCCGTAGCCGTTAAAAAAAGTATTTTAAAACGTTTAGACCCACACGCTCCGGTATTTCCAAAGAACAGCGCGATGAAGGTGGCTAGGAACAGGTCGATGTAGAGAAATTGGAAATCCGTCAAATTCGTCAGCCGGTAGTACATCAACATCACCGAGGTGAACTGCAAAAAATTGCATTGTATTTCACTGCTAAAGATTTAACGGAATAAAAGGCTAAAACGTCTTTAAACCCTATTTAAATTTGAAGGCAAGCTAGCGATGTTTATTGAGGAGGGTCAGTCATTTTATATGTTTCGAGGAAATGATACTGGTTCACTAAATTCCCAGAATTCTCGTTATAGCTCCAAAGAAGCGAAACACATGATTTTCACGGGATTACGCTGTTCCATACCCAAAAAGTGCCACTCCCGGTTTTATTATGGTGGAATCTCAACTACAATGAAAATTCACCTTTAGCAATATACCACAAGCTTTAAAGAATAATATATAAAAAACCGAAAAAATTAAGGGGGAGGATGACAAAAGCGCCAAAGCAAAAGCGCCAACGACAAAAGCGCCCATGCAGAAGCGCCAAACGAAAAGCGCCCAACGCCAGAAAGCGCCCAATGCCAAAAAAGCGCCCAATGCCAGAAAGCGCCCAATGCCAGAAAGCGCTCTATGGGAATTGGGCCGCCGTTTCGGCGTGTTACGCCCGGCTCCAATACACGTACGCACCCCGAAGGGATCTTGCTTCCCATTATCACGGGATCGCTCTTTGAAAAAGGCCGATCCCGTATGTTATTATATAATCGTATAATGATAGTATTTGTTGCTGTTCTATTTCTATATCTAATTTAACTTTGCTTTTCATACATTTACCCATTTCAGGCCCGCAGCTTCGAACCCCTGAACGACTTCAAATGTCGCAATTAACTCCTGCAGGGCCAGTCAGGTTGGCGAATATCGCTTTCTCAAATCAAATTTAGACGTGTTTCGAACACCGTGCGGTCGCAAAAAGGTCTGCCGCGATACTACGATGCGGCCGGCTTTGAGTACCGCATTTCCAGGACGAACCTTGCAGGAGACACCTTTTATAGGTGGGTTCGGTGATTAAACAGCAATATTTTTGTTTAGATGTCCAATGAAGAGGTGCCGCGGCCGGGGCAAAAATTTAAACACCGACGGCGCTGTGCTTGAAGTAGAGGGGAGCAGCCACAACCACCCGCCAGTCAGCCATCAAGCTGAGGTAATTAACTCGGCTAATGTGTAGTTTCTTCAGATAAGAATGGTCCGGAAGGAGGCGAAAAACGATCGGCTAAATGGGCTAGCAACAACGTGGATATTGAACCAAAGGATCCTCAAAGCCCCGGCACACCTGAAAGGCCATCTGGACCCGAAGGCCACGACCAGAGCGCTGCAACGCCAAGTGGAGGTCCCCGGAATGAGAAAATGGCCTGCGGACATAGATGTCAATCTTTTTGGTACGAATCTTTTTTCAACCGTCACCGATCTTTCTTTCTGTTTCAGACCAGACTTTCCTTCGCCACGATAACTGTAATCAGTTTGCGGCGCCAGATCCGGAGGGCTTTAAGCTATTCTTCACCGATTGGGGACAAGAGTTATTGCAAACAGTAGGTCACTTTATCAATAAGCAATGGTTAATATTAGGAAGAGACATGGAGCGTCGATGGGACTTTTGCGTGTGCCCCAGACGATTTTCAGCAGGTGCTCATCATCGGGGTCCAGGTATCGGTTTGATAAGCCGCATTATTGTTTTTTTTTAGAAATTTCATCTTTTCGTGCCCGCGGCGTTTGCCTTTCTGACAAGTAAAGAGACCAGGAGCTATCGAAGGGTCTTTGATCATCTATCGCAATATATGGGGTTCAGAGCGCCCGATTTCTTGGTGTCTGGTAAGCATTTTTTACCATCCTGATCATCGATTTAGACATGGAAAAAGCATTGAAGCGCGGATACGAAGAGGGCTTCGGCGGCCCGGCCACCTTGTATATGTACTGTGGTTTTCATTTCTTCCAATTGATGATCACCAAGATTAAGGTTCGTCTTTTGTGATCACTAAATAAGAGCACCATATCTAGAAGCATGACCTGACCGACCTGCTGAAGCGCCCGACCCTCAAGCTCTACGTTCACGGGCTACTGCTACTAGCGTTCATCCTGCCAGCTGATGTGATTCGTTACTTTGAGGAGCTACGTGCTGAAGCGTTCTGCCGTGTTCCTCCGAAATACCATGCGTCTTTAATAGGTATTTATTCAGACCATTCCCGAAACTGCTTTAGAACTTTATACCTACTACGAGAAGAATTTCTTGGGTACCAGATCCGACTGATCCCCGGATCCGAGACGACCCCACTTTCGACATTGAATCTTGGAGCCTTCATGCCCGGATTTTCCATGACTGGCAATTGGGAAATTCGACGATAGAGGGATTCAATGCAGGCCTGAGGGTACTATCAATTTTGAGCTCTTTCCATTCCATTTTTAGCGATTGCCGAAGCCGGCGTCGGCTCAGCGCGTCGCGATGGAGTTGCTGAGTATGGTGAGAGCTGAGGAAAGCAACGGCTGGCCGACTCGAAAAATCTCACCCTCGATCAATGCTTCCCCAATCGCAAGCACAAATGCTTTATGGAAAAGCGTAGGCTGGCCATCACCAATGGCGCCTAAAATCAATCACCCTGTCGCTACCTCCAATCCCTCTCCCATTACATTCCCATCGCAATTGGTGAGATTGACATGTTAAAATTGAGCAGAATTTTCGATTTCTCCCCGCAGCCTTCCCTTGGCCCATAGTCTCCCTCTCATTGTGTTAAATATTGATTTCCGTGATTCCCAATACTTTTCCTACTTTTCACCGCCGAAAATTTCATGAGATAAACGTTTAGTTTGAGCAAAATACTTGAAGCGGAAAGACGACGAACAGTACGATCCCGTGATAATGGGAAGCAAGATCCCTTCGGGGTGCGTACGTGTATTGGAGCCGGGCGTAACACGCCGAAACGGCGGCCCAATTCCCATAGAGCGGCATTGGGCGCGGCATTGGGCGCTTTCAAGGTTGGGCGCTTTGGCGTGGGCGCTTTCTGGCGTTAGGCGCTTTTCGTTAGCGCTTCTGCATGGGCGCTTTTGTCGTTGGCGCTTTTGCTTTGGCGCTTTTGTCATCCTCCCAATTAAGGTTGTCCATGACCCAAGAATGTGCTCAAATTGTGGAACGCAATTTTTTTAGAAGGGTACCTTTAAATTAATTTCCTAATTTGTAAAATCAAAAAACTAATCACCTCCGTGTTCTTTTACAGTGATGCGAAAGAATATATCATACAAGAGAGAGTTCATTATGTTTATCAACCTTTTTTTAGATTTGAAAAGAAGCGGAACACAATATTTTGATGCAATTTAACGCAAAAAATCATACATTGTTAAACGCATTTCAGAAGCCTTTTGCAGGATTGTTTGTGTTTTTCAACCGCCAAGAGAGAGAGTTGATCGCGTTCATCAACCTTTTTTTTTAGATTTCTATTGGCGCGAAACACGTGTTTTCAACAATTTTAACGGTATGCCGCGCCCAAAATATTCTAAAATTAAGCAGCACTATTTTTAGATAGGGATCTCACGGTCAATTCAAATTCGCCTTGAAAATTATATTGCTCGATTTACGAGAAATTAAGTAGAAATTTAAACGGATTGTTTGGTCCCCGCCGATTTCTCGTCGATCCCTTGCCTCGTTCGGCAAAAGTAAAAAAAAAATCCTAATTTTAAAAAAATTGCAATAATTTATAAGCCTAAAATTAGTGAAATTTATGAAAAACTACTTTTATAGGAAGGCCCTTTGTATTTCTTTCAATACTCGCAATCAATTTATTGTGCTCAACAACTTTTCGTGATACTTGGAACGATCTGAAGCACATTATTTTCGCTTTAAAGTAATTTAAAGTAATTCCATACCGAACAAATAGTAACATTTACCGAAACACAGCTTTCCATAAAGTACTTTTTAAAGTTTATCTTTTCAATTTTTATCTCGCGGAGTACAACATCAACCTCGATGAATTGTTGCTAAATTTAGAGCCAGCCGATACACATTATTTCCAGCCATTTCGAAGCTACCAACACCCAAACATTCTAACATTTTTGGAATATTACTTTTTAGAAAGGGATCCGTTTGGAGAATTTTGTATTTCGATATCAGTGAAACGGGATTATGTTAATGGCTGTTGGACTAGATTTGGGGTGCAGCGAAACACATTATTTTTCACTAATTTACGTGGTCTCATCGAATTCAATCAAGCTTATTTAAGCATAATGTCATTCGCTGATTCTACGAATTTACATATATTAAACATTAAAGTATATTATTGAACCAGTTAGTCTAAGAATATGTTATTTTCAGTCCCTTTGATGTCCGCTTTTATTCCTATAACAGTAGAGGATGTCTATCTATTCCATCGAGATATCTTTCTCTATATTTAAATTGAACGCAACACATTCTTCTTACGGTCCATTAGTTGGCTTTCATTTAGCTATAGTTTTCAGACGATTTTTTATTTTTAAGGAGATAAATTGAAACCAAAACTACTTAACAATAATAGCCTTGGCTTAAATTTAGAGTTTTAGTTTTTAGGAATAATAAAGACAACTAAAACATATAATCCCGAAGAATTATAGAAATCAGGGTGATTCCGCTCATGCCAAATTGAATATTGTTCAAACACACGGAAGCGCATTACATGTTTTGAGCCTTCATTATATTTGCGGTGTCGCGAAACACATTTTTTCAAAAATTTTGCGCATTTTGATTAAGTTTATGATGGTGACAAGTTAGTCTTAATAACGTGCCGGTTACTTTTACTACTAATTTCGTATTCAAACACTTAAAATAGCCTCAAATCATACTGAAAACCGACCTGCGCAATTGAGTAGTTGGCCATGTACTTGAAGACGCCAAAAGAAGTAACAAGGGCGGCTCGACCCTCTCGGATTACGGTAGGCACACACCGGATGTCGGCCACCTGAAAAACGCTCAATTTAGCGTGTATATAGTAATTTTTATATCGAATACTATGGAAAAACACTTGAAAATTTTTATTAAGCATCGATTTAAATCATGGCTGCGTTTTTAGGAATTTTTCTTTAATTTATAGATGTTTAAAGTATCAATTTTTTGGGGTTTAAAGGTTTTCCAGTAAGTTCAAGGTCTTTGTCAATGTTCAATTTATTAGTGAAACTATGATAGCGCTAAACACAGCGCGAAGCTAAATTGAGCCTTAAACCGCCTGCTCAATAACCTAGTAACATGAAACATTTTTTCCAAATATATTCCAAACTTTTTTGGTGAAAAAGCACTTTTGGTGGAATTTGAAGGTAACTAAAGCAATCTGTCTAAAGCCATGATGCTCTTCACTTTGCATAATTCCGGTTTAACGATCACAAAAAATTAAAATCGGCCCCTGGCTCCCATTATATAGGCTTTTACCACTTCCGATGTATGTTAATTGATTCCTAACAAAGTGGGCGGGAGAAAATTTTACAAAAACTTAAATTTTACGTTGAAAATAGCTGACTTTGGAAAATATGATGCGTGTGCAGTCATCTACAGACCATTACGCGGTGCTTAGGGATTCCCCGGGGGGAACCAATTTTTCCTGGTGATCCCGGTTGACCTAGTAATCAAATATAAAGTGTGTTCGAATTGTTTTTAGTAAGTTTTAACTTATATTGAAGCAGGAATAACTTTCAGAAAAAATTTAGAAAAGCTTAAAAAAAGTCGAAAATTTAGTCATTTGGGTCTTTCCCCCGCGAATCCCAAAGGTTCTATAGGATTTTTCGCCCCTAATTTTTATATTTTTAATTTTGTTTGGTTAAAATTTCTGTAGTTATTATGCTCAGGAATAGTTAAAAACAATTTGGAAACGCATCCGCAATTTATAAAAAAATCTAGGCTTGTGCCGAAAAAAATTTTAGGTGGAGAAAGGTATAGCCTTGTAGTAGTTTTAAACATCCTATGGGTAAGGCGTCACTGTAATTTTTGTGATATTTTTTTTCGATCCGGGTTTATTATTATTGTTTATTGTTTTTAATTAATAAATCTCGCGTTATTAAAGTGTGTTAAAATTAGCGTTTTAATTTCTTCCTGTAAAGGGCGCCTTGCTAATTTTTCGAGAGAAGACAGACACGGTAAAATAATTTCCAAGCCGATCCACGACAATTCAAATTACCATGAAAACATCATCTCACAAAAGTACGCTCTGTCCAGCTTTGTAAAAATTTTTGAAATGTGAAAAGTTAGCTTTGGCGCAAAAATAGCAACAAAATTTTTAGCATTCTCCACCTCGAATTGATTTGAAAACAACCGCCAGGGACTCTGAAAAATTCGGAAACACTCACTTTTGAGGGTGAACGGGGCTGCAATGGATGCCTCGGCGTCGGAGAGCGAGATTCCCGCGTGCGCTGCCTACAATCCTTATTGTAACCCTCTTTTTTGGTCGAAGTGGAAATTCCGTACGTGAGATGCACATCTTGTGCAGAATTTTTGCTGATTCCGAATCATTTTTCAAAAGTTGGGAACCCCTCAGATTAAAAGTTACAAGCGTTTTTAAATACCCAAAATGTCACAAATCGCTGACTTTAAAACGTTCTAAATTCCGTAAAATACTTGTGGGGGAGAGTAAGGCATTTTCCGGGGTAAAAAACACGCTCTTTCGAATGGGCTACCTCACGAACCAGTAGCTCAAAATTTGCAAAAAGTTTTTTTTGGCGGACCCATGCCCAAGATCGTCGATTTTCGAAATTTTACAAATTTTGAGCTACGGGTTCGTGAGGTAGCCCATTCGAAAGAGCGTGTTTTTTACCCCGGAAAATGCCTTACTCTCCCCCACAAGTATTTTACGGAATTTTTAGAACGTTTTAAAGTCAGCGATTTGTGACATTTTGGGTATTTAAAACGCTTGTAACTTTTTAATCTGAGGGGTTCCGCAACTTTTGAAAACAGATTCGAATCAGCAAAAATTCTGCACAAGATGAGCTATCTCACGTACGGAATTTCCACTTCGACCAAAAGAGGGTTACAGTTAGTGTACGGTATAATTACCCCCCGACACTCCAAAACGATATATAATTAGTGACCTATGAAAGGTAGCGGAATTTTTGTTGGGCGTTTCTTTGAATATTGACGTTTCTAGAACACCGCATTAGCCAAACTTCGTCGTAACATATATTTTTTTAATGAAAATAAACGACAGCGTTGCTTTGCGCTATATTCAGGAGGGAAAAACAATCCAGAAATCTGCTCTACAACACCAGAATAATTACTTTTAACCAATTACTTCGCTCTGCATTTATTTTAACTTGAATTTTGTGCTGGGAACAGGATTTCTTCGTTGAATATCAGATTTTTCAATGTCAATCGAACTCAAATGCGCGATTTCAGGTGGCGTTAAACAGAGAAATGGATGGAAACAAGCATTTTCTAGGAAAATTATCTTTTCTTGACAGCTTGCCACAAACTTTATAAAAAGGCCCTAAAAATACATAATTCCGATTTTTAAGAAAAAATTCGTTTTCAACAGGGTACCAATTTTTAAATTTTTCATTTAATACATACGCAGACTTGACTAAGAAGACTATTAAAACGTAATTTAAAAAGAGCCAAAACGTGGCATAACTGGGTTTTTAGGAAAATACTAACGGAGGACGGAGGGATAGGACTCAATTACGCAATGTAATTCCAGCGTGCGTCTTGCGTCCCATAGGCATGTCTTTTAAAATCCACTATTTTTTCAACTTTATTTAAAAAAGTTAAAATTATTTAAAACCAGGGGTTCAAAAGCCGCTTCGCGACTTTTCAACCCTGGCCCTGTCTGGGACCAATGAGATTGTAATTTGCATAATTCCGCCTCAATCAACTTAGAAAAATGAAAACTCGTGTGCCAGCCCTTTATATAGGCGTTTCCACTTCCGGCATATGCTAATTCGTTCCTAACAAAGAGGGCGGTCGAAAACTTAACAAAAACCCTAATTTTAATGTCGAAAATAACTTATTTTTATGATTCTAATAGGTGTGCAGTCATGTCAGGACCATTACGCACCTAACGACAAATATCATACCCGCCGTAAAACCCCGTCCCTATTGAGTTAACCTCCGGACATACTGACGGAAGTGTATGCAAAAGTGTCACACACACACATACACTATTTTTTTTATATATAGTAAGGATAACTTTGTATTAAAACTCCATCTATTTATGCCTTTACCAATCCCTAAATCAAATCGATACCTTAAGCGCAGCACAATGCATTTCGCCCCATCACCACACATTGACACGGTATACTCGAGCGTCTGGAGGTAATTCACCAGATATTGCTTCTGTTCCGGCGCCATACGCGCGAACACGTCGCATCTGGAACGTGTGAATTCATTCCAAAATCATACAACCTAAAATATTCTATAAGAAATGTGAGTTTCATAAAAAGCCATCTTCAAAATTAGGTCTGGGCTGACCAATCCGACGCGCTACGGGATTCGTTTCTAATCCGTTTCTATGGCATAATGAATTATTCAGGGATCAAAACAGGCAATTTTTTTAAGAAGCATTAAAATTCATGTTTAAATTAAAAAATTTAATTGTTAATTCTGCGAAATCGAATAATTAAAACAATTAAACAATTCAATGTAATTCCTAGTGAGACGCACATTTCTTTTTTTTTTGCCAAAAAAGTGCGTTTCAGAAAAGAGGCGTTGCGTTTGGCTTTTATATCTTTACTGGCGTATTTCTATTTTTTTTTTCTGACTCTGCTCTGACGATATTTGCTATTTATCTCGGGTCCTTTTTGAGGCTATTCATTAGAGTCTCAAAAGATAGAATGAATGTTAATTTCGGCCCAAAATAAAGTTAAAATAGAATAGTTATGGTAAAAACATGCAAACTCCAGAAAACCTCTCAAACACTGACCGGTTGGGGTACAAGAAAGACTGGCCCTTGAAACTTATCTTCTAAAAATATGATTCTGAGAAAATGTGCTAAAATTTGGTCCGGGGACACCAATCGACGTTGATTGCCAGCCATTCTTCCAAGCGCCATTGCGCCTAATTCATATCACTTTCCAGCGGATGGACAAAGCAAAAACCAAGCCGGTTTTTCATGCTACATGCTACACATTTTTTTGCGGTGGAGTCGAGAATCCTCGTAAATGCCAAAATCTAAATTCGCGTTTTAATTCATCCAGGTTAATTTGATGATATTTTTAGGTTTTTGCACTTTGTAATAAATATAATTTGCTTAAAATGTAGATAAAATCATCAGAAAGCCAATAAAATCACTTGTAGTGCAATCGATCATTAATTTTTAATCATAATTTTTATATTTGTATTCTTGGGCGTAGGTATGGTCGAATACTAATTAATCCAGCGAGAGAGCTTGATTTTCTGGTATCAAAGCTGTAACTCATATTTTGCAATTACATTTACCACGAAATATATAACCTGCTCAATTTAATTAATTTCTACTTTTATTAAACCTATTAAAAATATTTACAGTATTTAAAAACTCGGTATTTCAATTTACACATTTAAAAAATATATGAGTCTTAAGAATTCAATCCAGAACTGCTTTTTGGTAATTCTCTAATCTGAAATTTGGCCATAGTTCATCTTACAACAGGACTGGGCATTAAGCAAAGATTTATTTGCTTTTTTGATTTATCAACCAGTACATACTTTTCCAAAAAAATGTTTAGCGTTCTATTAAAGTAAATAAAAAATAGTGTTCTGTGTGTGTGTTTGTGTGTGTGTGCCACTTTGCATCCACTTCCGTCTGTCTGTCCGGAAGTTATCTCAGAAGGGACAGGTATTAGGCTACATATGATACGTCATTAGAGTGCGTAATGGTCTGGGGATGACTGCACACATATCAGATTTTAAAATTAGCCATTTCCCTATTAGAGATTTGGGTTTTGTAAAAACCTCTTTGTTAGACATAATTAGCATAGACCGGAAGTGGTGGTCGCCTATATAAAGGGCAGAAGGGGGTTGTTTTTTCATTTTTTTGTCTTCTGGATGAAGGGCAGAGTATGCAAAGGGCAGAATAGTATAGGGTCGAGACGGGGCCAGGGTTGAAAAGTCATGAAGCGGCACTGTCCCCCTGGTTAAAAGCAAAAAAAACTCTGCCGTAAATTGGATTCAATGAAGCATCAATATTTTATGGCAGTTTTATCATCATGCTCTTGATGCTTGTTTTAGGTAATTTACGGCAGAATTTTGTATGCCTAATAGATCATGGACCGTATTTTAGAAAAAAACATTTACCAGGGCTGAAGGATAAGAATCCAAGTAAATTGTTGCTTAATTTCCACTCAAGTTGCGGTTTGAATTATGTCCAAATTTTTGCTTAGGAAATTACAAAAGCATCTTGGGATTCAATTCACCCGGTTGGTGCTCCCCTTACTCATCTCCCCGAACAGACCAATAATAAAACTTATACCTTTTCAAAACGACGGTGGTGGTATTTTTGTACACAAACGCCGTTTTAAAGGGGCAGAGATCAAAGTCCGCGCATGCAAGACTAGACCTACCCGTCAAAAAAATGAGGGAACGAGAGCACCAGAAAAGTGATTTCGTTGTGAAGAAAACGTAAAATATTTTAGTAAAACCGAGCTGTTGTCGGGTCGAAAACGACTTTCTGAGTGGGCGGCGATTACATGTCGTAATGCTCTGTAAGGCACCAAATCTCTCTATATCGGTGATTCTCCTGGCCCATTTTATAATTAAAATCTGATGATCAAATTCGTTGGGGATTACAGAAATAGCGTCAAATTTTGAAATTCCAAGCGTTTTCACGTCAAAACACGAGGCCAAAGATAAGCATGCGGCGCGGTCGCGTTGCGGACGCATCTGGCTGTTTGCCAGGAATCAACGCAGGGCATGGATGATTCGGCGCACCCAACCTGACTCCCCGTTCTTTTCATTAGTCCGACTTCTACCTTGTTTTCCCTTCCCAGAATTGAAACTTGATTTTTAAGAAACTTACACAGCCATCAGGTCGTCAAGTATCTCCGGGTATTCGCGGGTGATTACTGCGAAAGTGCCGCCTGAAAACATCCAAGTCAAAATAAGTAGCTTGTTGTGCATTATCGGAGGGCGAGGAGAAGTTCCCTTTTCTAGGCATCCCATTTCCAGCTCCCGTGGGAAAGTGCTTTAAGCCTTTTTGTTTGCTATTTTTAATGTTAAAAACCTTACAAATTTTTTTGATAAAAATATGCAATTTTGACGAGAACCGGCCGGTTTCCAACCAAAACTTTAAATTGTCCAAGTCTTTAGATCGTTTTGCGGCATTTACCCACCGTTAATGCCAAAGAAAATAGGGAAAATAATTTAGTACATAGCAGTACGCAATAGTACGCAACAGGACGCCCCAGTAGATAGAAACTTGTTTCACTAATTTTCTGCAATTCGATTGCATGAATTTTCGAAATTAGGTGTTCCATGACTGTGCATAATCTCAGATTTTTATGGCGTTCTAGTTCCTCAATGCTTCCTTCAAAAAAGCTCGAATCAATTGCCATTGTTTTGATTTATTTTTAGCTACTTGCTCATGCTGGTTGAAAATTAGATTAATTAACTGAACGGATTTTTCCATTCAGAACTTACACTATCCATTAAAAATGTAGCATATTTATTCGGTTAAGGAATTCAGGTTTCGGAGTTTTGATAAAGAGGGCTCTGCCTATAATCGAGCGCAAACCTTCCACTTATCAAAAAATTTCACTTTCAAGACATCATGTTTCATACAATTCTCAAAGTAAATCTTTACCGATTCAAGGAATTTTATTGCGCCCCGGCTGTCCCAATAAAAAAACCCCTCTAACTCGACGCAGAAGTATCGGATCGGATTGAGAGTTACATCAGTCGAAAGCCCTTGAAACGGCCAGTTTCCAACGAACTTCGGAACCATTTTTTTATTTAAATTCGCTATTTTACAGACCATTTTGTAACATTTTGCGCTCTTTCGGAGTTGCATACGAGCTAATTTGCCTCAATTTCACTAAACAAAATGACCGAAAATGGCCATTAATCGGATATAGAAGCCATTCCTTAATGTTTTTAAATGGTAAAGTCGCGCGTTTAAATAAAAACCGGTTTTTGACGATAGTTGCGAACTCACCGTTTCAAGGGCTTACGATTGGTGTAACTACCCATCCGATCCGATATTTCTGCGTCGAGTAAAAGGGAGTGTTCTTATTGGGACACCCTGTACATATGCTTTTAACTTCCAACCTGCCACGCTGAGCTGGTAACGCGAGGTCAGCATCTTTTCGACCTCATTCTCAGCCCCGTCACTCAAATCAACAAAATCGTCCGGATCGGCAGAGACATTCTTAAGCGTACTCTAATTGCTGGTTTTTACGCTTTTAACCAAACGCAGATTTAATTTTTAACTTAAACTGTAACATAAATTTATTTTTAAAGCATTTTTCAATATTTGCATTTGAAAAATGACAAACACATTCAGGGGCGTAGCCAGAGAAAAATTTCGGGGGGGCCCCGAAAAATTTTTTCCAAAAAACTCAAAAAAATTAACGAGAGAATAGCGCCGCAGGCGAAAAATTTTGGAAAGAAGGCTATATAGCTCTACAAATAGCACTAAAAACGTGAAAAAATAGCGCCGCAGATTTTTTGAGAAAATAAAAATCATAAGGGTCCCCCCTTATGAAATTTTCGGGCCCCGGCCGATTTCGGGGGGGGGGGGCCCGGGCCCGGGGGCCCACCTTACGCTACGTCCCTGAACACATTAATTGACATTTCTGGAGAGGAAAGAAAAGAATCCGGCGGTGCGGTTCTGTGGCATTATCGGGGGTAATTAGAATCGAGCTCTTCTAATACCAAGACTATTCCTAGTCATAAAAATTTCATCATTTTTCATAAAAAATAATAAAAATATCGATTTTTGGACGAAGATATAAATTTTTAGACTTCTAGGTTTTTTTGATATTTTTAATACTCGAAATATGGCAAAATTTGACCAAAAAGAAGCTATTAAGAAACCTTCTATCACGTGAGTGGCATTATCTGGAGCAGAAATTACCCCATAATGGAAAAGAACCGACTATTCTAGAGGCGGAAGGATAGCCTATTAACTTTTAAATCGTAATAAACTGCTGGCTAATAATATTTGACGAAGAGATTTTTAGTTTTTAGTTTCGTAAAAATCCAGATTTTACATCGACCGTACCTCCTTTACCGTAAGCACCGTCCGGCCGTCGGGCGTCTTGGAGTCTGGGCGATGCTCGAGGAGGTACGCCTGGAAATGTGTTTTTTATTAAGCTTTAGATCTTAAAGTTTTTTAGCCATTAGTATTTTTAAAATGGCGGTTTTGTTTGGGAAAATTTTTGTTTTGTTATTTAATTTTTATTCATTACTAATTATTATTAAATAATTTTTTTTATTAAATTTAATGAAAGCTTGCATACGTACTTTCATTAACTTTTTACATTCTAACATTTTAGACCTTTTAAAGTACAGCTTTTGCTTGGTGCAAAATTTTGTGTTTCATTGGATGCAGACATCGAATTGCGCTAGTTATGTCGAGTGACCGATACGCTTCGACTGCTAAAATTCATATTTAACAAAATTTTAAAATTAAAATCTTTCCCGACATAGCATAAATTATTTTCACGAAAGAGCGATCCTACTATATATAAAAAAAATAGTGTCTGTGTGTGTGTGTGCATTTGAATGCAACTTCCGTCAGCGTGTTCCAGTAGTAACTCGATAGGGGAAAGTTTTTAAGTTAAGTTTGATACGTCATTAGGTGCGTAATGCTTCCGAGATGACTGCAGACGTATAATATTTTGCAAATTATCTTATTTTGAACATTAAAATTGGTTTTTTCTTTAAAAAACGGGCGCCCTCTTTGTTAGGAAAAAATTAGCATGCACCGGAAGTGGCGATAGCCTATATAATCGGAGAGAGGGAGCGTTCTTCATCATTTCTCATGACAAATTCGGGCGAATTATGCAAAGGGTAGAATTTCATGGGCTTATACGGGCCAGGGTTGAAAAGTCGCGAAGCGGCTTTTCAACCCTGGTAATAAAAGAATTTCGAGGGAGTAGATTAGTAAAAATTGGAGATAAATTGGTATGTTTCACAACCGTGCGGAAGCGACTTTAACGAATAGGGGTGAATAAAACACGCCAGTTAAGCGGATGCAAATATTATCCATAAAATTTTGTTTCAAAGCCGTACCTAAACAATTTTAAGGAATTGCGGATGTTAAAAACCTGGGGCAAATTTGTAGCACCGCTAAAGTTAAAGCGGAATATTTAGCTTTAGGGTATGATTACATTAAGCAACTCCAGGAAAAAATATAGCTCAATTAAGCAGTTAAACCTTAAAATTAAATTAAATTTCCCAGCCTGTCTATTTCGTCTCATGCGCTTTAATGCATTAAAATACAGTATCTAAAGCTTACTACACGATTTTCGGGTGTTTGGCCTTTAAGAATTCCTTTATAAGGTCGCTAGGATTTACCAATCTGCTCGAGACTGCAATGCCGGAAACATATTGCCGAATTTAATCTTTCGGAAACTTTAGAAAAAGGTGAAACACTTTGTTGTTTTCCGGCCATGTCTTTAGATGCCAAAAGCGATAAATTACAGTCTACAAAGCTTACTACGCCGATTTTTAGGCCTTCCCCTTTTAGAAATACTGCATTACGTCGCTGGAACTCTACCATTTTGCTCGAAGGCTCTATGTTTTCTTAGGCCTGATTCTATTCCAGAATTTAATTTTTCGCGTACTTTAGAAAATGGTGAAACGCTTTGTTGATTTCCGGTCATACCTTTAGATGCCAAAAGCGATAAATTACAGTATGCACAGCTTGCTATGACGACGATTTTTAGGCCTTTCGCTTTTAAGAATATACTTTATTTTGTCGCTGCAACTGTACCAATTTGCCCGAAGGCTCGGATTAAATTTGATAAAGCTTTCTGTTTAACATATCTCACACATTCCAGAATCTATTTTTTCGAAAACTGCGGGAGAAGGTGAAACACTTTTGTTTCCTGGCCCTAGGCTATTCCCGGCAAATACGACCCATTAACTAAAATTTTTTTGTGGAAACAGACGAAGCTTCTTCTTGATTATTGGAGCAATTAAATTAGTTTTACCTTCAATTTATTAATAATTGTTTTAAGTTGGCCATTTTGCTTGACATTGTTTCATAGAAACTTCTTAATGATTTTAACATATTAGGTATAGGTATAAAATAGGTCGAATCGCATTCGCAAAATCCCATAATATTTTAGCATATTAAAAATAATGCTTAGCCGCCAAGTATTTCTCTCGCTATTTTTATCTACCCATTTTATCCGTTCAATTAGCATGTTTCAGAGGACCTCCTTAATGATTTTCACGAATTTTGGACAATAATATCATAACAACGCACGCCTTATTAAACGTAAATTTAAATAATCAGTAAGGCATCCGTTTGATAAAATCAAAATCCACCTTTCGATCGGATCGTATAATTCCACATTCCCTGGCGACGCTCATTGCCGTCAGCAAATTGTCCCCCGTCACCATTACGGTGCGAATTCGAGCGCTGAACTTTTCCTCGATGTCACTTTCCCTTTAATTACCTATTTAACTGCCGGATGACCCCCTTGGTGACGGGCTTCACCCGGTTCTCCATCACGACAAGTCCGAGCAGTTCGAGGTCCGCCTCGACGTCTTGGCGTGGGACCTGAATTTGGGAAAAATGTATGTTTTGCGCAAGAGTATTATTTGCGCAAGGTTTTGGATTGTGAAATTCAATATTGAGTTGGACAGAAGTTTGAGTTTAATATGAACTTAATGTTCCTTATTAATTTTTATTTTGTAATAACATAAGAAAATAGACTAAATTAGTTGATTTTCTAATTTTTAGAAAAATTATGTTTTACCCAAATCCATCATTCGATTGCTATTCGGAGGCGACAATGTGACGATCAAATTGCCACTATATTTTGGTTCTTTTTTTAATAGTAATTTATTATTTTTATCTTTAATAAAAACTCAAAATTTTAAGGGAATTCGCGGAAATTGGAATCGAAAGAATTTTGAGATATGGTGACGAAATGGACCTCTCAATTTCTGGAAAATTTAACTAGATTCAAACACGTTAAAATTTCGGCTTAATTTAAAATTTAATTTAATACGACCTTTCAAAAAGTTTTTCAGGTTTTTGCAGAAAATATGTTATACTTAAGCCCATTAATGAGTTTTTGGTAGAAATCGTAATTTCAAATCACGAGTTGCCCAATTCACCAAACCTATCCTGCAGGCTAAAACAACCTCTTCTCACGGTATTTCCACTTTTGGTTTTTGCCATTTTATTCATTACATTTTTCGTTTTTATTAGATATCATATCGTGGAACGTAGTTTTAGAACTATGCAGGGGTTTTGAAAGATTGTGTTTCACCCAAGTCAATTATTCCGCTACGGTTCTGCCAGTCATTCAACGTCGGAGTCTATGCCATTTGCAAGTTTATAAAAAGCCTGTTTTTGCAAAAATTATGTTTAGAGAATTCTCTTAATTAATACCCGACAAGTTTATTACTGCTGCCTACGCAAGGTTTTGCTCTTCAATCATTCAAAATTCGTAGCAGTTTGCCTGTAGCAATCAGTTGTTTTGTTTTTCGATCTGCGAAATGTTATCCAACGAAAGTAAACTTTAAGCCCCAATACTATAGTACAACTTTAACCTGTTAAACTATGCTAAATTTGGTAAAGTCACGGGTTTTTTGGGTTACGCTCATTAAAACATGTTTCTCCAAGAAGTGCCAATCTACTTGTGTTGGCTTTTTTATTAAATGCCGCTTCGGTTTTTTGGCTCTAAATAAACGAATTCGAATGTGAATTCATATTGTGTTTCATCCAAGTCAATTGTTTTGTTACGGCATTGCCAACCATTGAATTTCGATGTGTATGGCATTTTTTTCATGACTAAAAATCGGCTTGTGCAAAATTATGTTTTATGGCCTCCCTCCACTTAATAACTTCCCGAAAAAAATGCGTCACTATGACAGGCTCTATCGTATTTTAAATCATTCAAATTTCTTAGACTTGTGTAGCTTGTAGAAGTTAGTTAGCTGCCTATCAATTTATGCATTGCTACCCAACGACAGAAATGTGCTTTATACCCCAATACTATGGTACAATTTTAATGTATTAAACTATGCTAAATTCGGTAAAGTTACGGGATTTAGGTTACGTACCTAAAAATTTCGAATTCATTCCATTTCGAAGCCTATGCCATTCGTAAGTTTAGAAAAAACTGTCTGTGCAAAATTATGTTTTATAGCTTTTACTTAATAAATTCCAGAAAAATTCATTACTAGGACGACGGCTCCACGACCAGACCATAAAAAATCCAGGATTTTTGCTTGCAGAAATTAGTTATTTGTCTTTCAGTCTACGAATTGTTATCTAAAGAAGTAAATGCAAAAGTTAGTCACAAGCTAGCATAATTTTGATGTATTTGCTATGCTAAATTTCATAAGAATACAGGTTTTAGGTTACGCATAAAAACATCTTGCACCAAAAAGTGTCCATTTACTAGTGCTTGATTTTTTAATCAAGTCCTTTACGGGAGATGGTTTCGCCTTAATTTCGCGAATTCGAATGTGAATTTAATATTGTGTTTCATCCAAGTCAATTTTTTGTAACGGTTTTCCAATCATTAAATTTCGATGTGTATGGCATTTTTTAAATTAATAAAAATGGGCCTGTGCAAAATTATGTTTTATGGCATCCTCTTACCAAATAGTCGAAAAATTCATTACTCATAGGCGACTGGTGTTTCTTTCTGAATCATCCAAAACGCATAGACTTTCATGATGAAATTAATTAGCCATATTCCGATGCGTTACCCAACTACATAGTAAAGACGCTGGTTTTAGGTTACGCAAGTAAAGAAATATGTTCCATCAAAAAGCGCTGATGTATTAGTGTTTGGTTTTTTTATTACTCCGTCTTCATGTCTCGCCCTAATTATACGAATTTGAATGTAAATTGACAAACTTTGGTATGTTAAGCAATTTTGATAGCGTACCTTTTGCGCCTGGGCAAAGTTGAGGTCGAGCCGTCGACTGGCCACCTGAAAGTGGATATTTCGATCTTACGATTTTTTGGAAGTGTGTTTCACATCTACTGGAGAAACTTGTCACTTTAATATCAGCAATGTACGGTTACTAGTCGATAGTCAATATTTTCAAAAGCAATTGCAAATTTCGATATTTCGGGATTTAGCAAAATGCGTATCATATTTTTGTCCTAGCGAACAAAACATTTTATCGCATCAATTCGTTTTTGGAAAATATGAAAGATCCGCCGGTTTTTCAACTACTTGTAAAACGAAACTAGGAATAGGCTCTGCTGCCAAGGTTTTTATCAAGTGCAGTGAAAAATGAGCTGAATTACAGCGGCGTACACCGGAACGATAGGTCGATCGAAAAGGTGGATTTCATGAAAAACAACAAGATATTTCGTTTTTCGTTAGGAAATTTTGGCCTTGGGTAATCTTAATTCGATCGTGATATGATGTTTATAGTGATAATTTCGTAATCAGCGAGTAATTTTGGTAACCCAGTCAACACCGATTATAGCTTGGAGATTAAAGGAGCATGGAAGTCGTTGATTCCTGGCAACGAGCCAGGTGCTGCCGCGACGCGACCGCGCCGCTTTTTCATTTGTCTCAGTCTGGGCGTGAAAGTGCGTGAATTTCCAAATTCGAAAGCCATTTCTGGAATCCTCACGAGTTTTAGATAATCCTAGCTTTTTAACTTTTAAGAATTGAGCGGGAAAGCACTAATATTTGAGGGCGTTACGAGAAATTAAGGCATATACTGTCGCCTAAAAATTCAGAACGTGTGAGAAACGGCAAAAATGTTTCATAAATGAAATTTCAAAAAATTGTTTTGGGATAGTGTAGCCAAATACATTTTTTTCTTGAAACAAAAATGTTTCATGATTGATGATGATTTTCCAAAACTAAAAAAATTTGTTATTGGGCAGTAGCGATCCTTCAGAAGCTTCTTACCGAAATAAGACGATAGCCATGCTGCGCGTATTTGTTGACATGATCCAAATAGTCTGCGGGTACGGTAGCCGGGTCGCAAAGGGAGAGGATCATCTCCGGGGAGCCCTAAATGTAAAGATAAATAGATTAAAACTAAGCAAGTAAAATAAAAATTCTTATTTAAATGTTAAATATAAAGGGCCCGAGAAAAATTCAAAGCTATCAATTAATTAATTAGATGGATTTGTTATTATTTATTTATTAAATAAATTAATGTTATTTTATAATGCACGCAATAATATTGATATCGATGAAATAGACCAGTTTTCAGGACATGTAAAATTAATCTACGACCAGGGTTGAAAAGCCGCTTCGCGACTTTTCAACCCTGGCCTCGACTGATCTCATGATCTACTTCACTTTGCATAATCCTCGATTTCCGATGACAAAAAAATGAATATCGCCCCTTCTACCCCATTATATAGGCTGCCGTCACTTCCGGCGCATGCCAATTTTTTCCTAACAAAGAGGGTCCCCGATTTTATTAACAAAAACCTAAATTTAATGTCGAAAATCGGCAATTTTGGTAAATCTGATAAACGTGCAGTCATCCCAGAGCCATTAGGCACCTAATGACGTATCATACATACCTTAAAATTCATCCCCTATCGAGATATCCTCCGGACACCCTGACGGAAGTTGCATGCAAAGTGGCACACACACACAAACACACAGACACTATTTTTTTTATATATAGTAGGATCGCGTTTCACATCAATTTATGAAACTCGACTTTTAAAAAATGATGTTTCAGAAAAACTAATTGTTTGAGATCCCGAAACCGAGTTGGTCTGCGACAGTTTAGCCGCCAGCTAATTCAACAATTTTGTTGCTTTATTAAGAACGAAAAGCAACAAAGTCAATTTGATTATTAATAACATTAATGGACAACCTCAAAGAGATACTTCACAGTGAAATATAAACTTAATTTTTCAAGCAAAAATAAGTCGAATTAAGTACAAATTTAATGTTGCGTCGTTAGATCTCGTGAGACATTTTCGAAATTCTGTAATTCCGACAGCAGAACGGTTGAGTGGAAACTTGGATAAACGCTAGTAAATATAAGAAATCGGCCGAATTACGCGTCTAATAGTCAAAATGCTGCAAGGGTACCATTAATTTCAGCGGCATACACTGATCTCGTATTTTTTATGAAACTCCTTTTTGCTATAAGAATTCTTATTTTTAATCTTTAGTGGCAGGAAGCTCAAATTAACCGTACCCAAGGTTTTTTCGATAAGTTTTTGCCTTATTTTAGGAGGACAATACCGATTCCTTTTAGCTGTTAAATTATTCATAGTAAAATCTGGTTGAAGTTATCGCGAATTTATGACAAGGTCATTGCGCTAGTGAAATCCACAAAGAATCTTGGCGATGATCGTGCCCCTTTTCGGAAACACATTTTTTTCACCTTGAGTCCTATCTGGAAGCTGGACGCTCTAGAATCAATTTAGAATTTATAAAATTTTGTATAATTTTGTTTTTGGGTCCATTTTAATCTGCTTGACCAAAAAGCAAAAAATTTTCGCAATTTTTAAACTTTTATGTGCTTTTTCCATCTAGTAACGAAAAATAGTGCGACAGTATAATTTGATTTGAGCGCGTTTCCTATCGATTTGTGAATCCAGATTTTTTAAAAATATTGTTTTTCTGAAAAAATAATTGTTCGCGATCCGAAATCACACCAATTTGTAGCAGATAGGCCGAATTCCGAAATTACTACAGTTATTCAGTAGCGCTGTTTTACGGATAAAAAATGCTTTTCGATTATCTTAAAGGGGCTCCGAAATCTGGTCCACGGCCCCCTGCTGTGATTCCTGGCAAATAGCCAGATGCGACCGCAACGCGACCGCGCCGCATAGTCTTTTGCCCCTGTTTGGACGCGAAAACGCCCGAATTTAAAAATTCTGATGCTATTTTTGGAATCTTCACCAAATTTTGATCATTCTAGACTTTTAAATTATGAAAATTGACCAGAGAATCGCCGAGATCGAGAGATTGGGTGCCTTACAACGCATTACGACAGGTAATCGCCGCGCACTCAAAATGTCATTTTCGCCCCAAAAAGAACTCGGATTTTCTCAAATATTTTACGTTTTTTCGCAATGAAATCACTATTCTGGCACCTCTCGGCAGTGACCCTTGCGTTTTTTGACCAGTAGGTTCAATCCCCGCACGCACGAATTTTGACTTCTGAGCCCCTTTAAAGGGGCTACGAACTGCCAAAAATTGAGTGACGGCCCGAAAATCGTCGGCCTGGACGTCGGAGGCCTCTGTACACCCAGGGGCCGGGAAGCTTGCACAATTTGAAATTGCCTGTTGTCACCTCGAAATCACGTTCTCGGCAGTTTCTGGGCCAAATTTGATGATTAAAACACCAAAACTATTTAAAATTGAGTGAGGATTTCAAAAATGGGCTCAGAATGCGCGAATTATAGTGTTTTCACAAAGAAACCGGGCAAAAACAACTTTGCGCAAAAATCGAAAGAGTGAGGGCTCTTGTCCCGCGGCGCCCGCTGGCAATTTTCCAGAAATCAAAGAGGCCTCCCAAAAGGGCTTTGATTTGGCAGTTCGGAGCCCCTTTAAAGTTATGACATAAAAGAATATAAGCCATACCTTGCAATAAATCGTCATTTCGTGGTGGCTGACGGCGTTCGGAGATCCGACAATCACCGACATTCGCTGCAGGGCCGAGCTGAATTTTTTTTTTTTTACAAGGCTAATATTGAATTTTTATTATGTATATTATTAGGTGGAAATGTTGTCGATTATTAATTCTGCCGAAGCGGTGTTCTAATTGGCCAGTTTTTTTTGAACCGCCAAGCGAAATTTTTCTGAAACATTGATTTTCTTTTTACATTTTTCCAGGATCCTTTGCTTGTTAATTTGGAAGTATGAAAAACCGATTCTAAGTATAAAAAACTGGAAAATAGATGATTGATGATGTCTTAATACTAATTGATTTAAAGGGGCTCGGAAGTCAAAATTCGTGCGTGCGGGGATTGAACCTACTGGTCAAAAAACGAAAGGGTCGCTGCCGAGTAGTGCCAGAAAAGTGATTTGATTGCGAAAAAACGTAAAATATTTGAGAAAAACTGAATTCTTTTTGAGGCGAAAACGACCTTTGGAGTGGGCGGCGATTACATGTCGTAATGCCTTGTAAGGCACCCAATCTCTTGATCTCGGTGATTCTATAGGCAATTTTCATAATTTAAAAGTCTGGAATGCTCAAAATTCGTCGAGGATTCCAAAAATCGCATCAGAATTTTTAAATTCAAGCGTTTTCGCGTCCAAACAGGGGCAAAAGACCATGCTGCGCGGTCGCGTTGCGGTCGCATCTGGCTATTTGCCAGGAATCACAGCAGGGGGCCGTGGACCAGATTTCGGAGCCCCTTTAAGAAAAAATTGTTTTAATTTTTCGCAAGCATTTATTGATCTTGAACTGTGTGGAACTGAAATTGAAAGGGGTGACACTTTTTTGAAACATCTTTTTGTTCATATTATGGATACCATAGGAGTATCAACCTTATTCTAAGTATTAACAAAATTAAAAATACCACTTTCGATAGTAAATTTGTTTGTTTTGTGTTCTGGACGAAATGGTGGAAATCCACGAACTAAAATTAACTTTGTTAGCATTCCGGACATATTATTCCGAAGTATTTATTTTTAATTTTCGTTTTTTTTCAACCATTTCTCGTCATTCAAAATGGAATATCATTTTTGTTTTCTAATCTAGAAGCATACAACGGCTGTGTAGGACGGTACAGCCGTTTCGAGAATGTATGGAAAGGGGCGAGAGACGCAGAGAAAATGTCTGCACTCTCTCCCTCTGCCCACTCTCTATCCGGCTGTACCGGCTGTACCGGCTGTACTTTACTAATTGCCCATACAACCCTATCTACGTGACAAAAATGCGATTTTTGTTATTGGCATATTTGGTTCAGGGTTTTTGTTGAAGGTAATAAATTTAAGCTAGTCGACGTCACTGAGAAATTTTTCCGAAACATTTATTTTTTTATATGTCCGACATTCTAGCAAAAGTGACGATTTTGTTTTTATAAATTTAATTTCTTAAGTTGATATTCGTTGCTCAATTTCGTAAGGTTTTAGATTAATATGACCGTCAGCTAGCAAACGCTAGCAATTTGAGAAAAACAAGGAAGAAACGTATATTTTCCTGCGGTTGCGCGGTCGAATACATAACGGCCTAAATTAATTACCTTGCTACATACTTGAAACCTTCAATTTTTTTTTAATCATTAAGAGAATTTTTGTTTTCAATTTAGTTAGTAAATAGGTAGTTTTTAATGAATAAATTTTGTATTTAATGTAATTTTTGGCCGATTCTAATTAACCTGAAAGTAAACTGGCGTACGACGGCAAATTCGTCGGCCCCATAGAAATCGCGGTCGTTTTGTGGGGGTCTGAGGACGGTCGGTTGCACCTGGTCGAATTGACTCGTCTCTTCTTCGGCGCTAAAAATATATGTTTCATATATCTATTTTTATCTGTTTATTCGTTTATTTTTGATTTTTCGCTATGTTTCGCCTTTTTTGTCGAAAAATCGACAGTTTTTGTCTTTTCTTAATCCGAAATTGTAAAATGTCTACGTTTAGGAAGAGTAAAAACTGCTTAGAAACACTTGCGCTATCTGTATTGGACAAAGCCGGATACTTAAAAAAATGGCTTCCCTCGTGGTGTTTGCTAGAAATTTAACCCTGAAAAAAAGGCGTTCAGGAGTGTACACACAACTATTACACCAACGGTATCACCAACCGAGTGCAAAATTTGTGAAACATTGTTCTACCACGGCCTATCATTTGCGCACCGTTATACAGCTAGTACTAGGCTGTTAGCGGGGGGGGGGGCAATTTTTTCTATGTAATTTCGTAGGCCCTTAACGACATATTGACCATTTCTACAGCATTTCACACTGCTTTAGGTATAAAATCACATAAAAATTATACAGTTTAAAAAAATGTGTGATTTTTAGTCAAAATTCTATCACAAATGTCCAAAAAAAGTTGCCTCTTTGATTAGTTTCGTTTCGATTGTTACTAACCGAAAGTAAACTTTTTCTTGAATTTTATTGACCGATTAGCGTTTAAAAATACTGTCCGATCACCCTGAAATCTGAAACATTTTCTTTTGATTTCAGATCTAATTTGCTAACATAAATCGAGCAGGTCTTTCTTCTGCTTCTTACCATCGCTAAACGCAAAAACGTTATAAATCTTTAGAAAACAAACAAAAAACGGTTTTCGATAAAAATGACCGAATTCCGACGAAACAATTGAATTAAAAATTCACTAAGTTTTTTTAGATTGTTTACAATTGAAACTAGCATAGTTAAATTTACCAAAGCATTAAAATTTGTGCAATTACATTACCGGGTGTTTCTGGGCCCATAAAAAATTTGGTTGCCCTTGATGATCCCTCTACCCCCTGATAATGCGCGAAAGCACCATTTAACCCTCACCTTTGATTCCCCTCATCGAGCGTCCAATGCGTCTGGTTGAACACTATCAGATCAAGCGGATCTCCCTGTAGCACGCCATCGATCCTAAAAAAAAAAATGGATTCTTTCGCTTGGAAAACAGTGTTTCGTATAATATTTAATAGAAAGGGCAGCTAAACTGGCAATAAGTTGTGCCACCTGAATAACTGCAAAAAGATATAGTTCCGGGCCGAACAAAATTCCAGACTACAAAAGCGGCGCAACAAGCTGCTATTCGGTGGTTTGTCATATACGGGTCATGTCTACGACTTCACACCCATCATTGGTACTTCAGGCGTGGGATTTATGCCTAAAATTTTCGAAGCATTTTCACCCCACTGTAGCCTCAAAAATAGCCTAACTATTGAATTTATTGCTTTAACACGCAAAACCTATATCTTACTTAATTTTGAAATTTCATTTCTAAAGCAAAAGACGGATTTGAAAAGGATTTAGAAGGGTATGAAACAAAGGCTTTAAAAACGGCTAAGACTTCAAAATTTTTTTAGAAAAGTGAGTTTCGTAAAAATGCCATTTACAGATAGAAATTAGATATATAATAGTGCTGTGGCTTCCAATGCGATACCTCAGCTTTACTTTGAATTAGTTATCGCACGACAACAAGTCAGTCGATCCCAAAAGTTTGTAAATTTCTAATTCAATCGTTTTCGAGAAAAAATATGCTTTCCTCACTTTATCTGATGCACAATCGCGAAAACTTATAGTGACCTCAAAGCAGCGTTTCTTTTAATATCTTATTCTAGAATTTTCTCATAAAACTACGAACGCCGTAATCGTTAAAAAATTAAACTCTTTTGTTTCAGAGAACTTTTCCAATAATTGACCAGTGACCCCGCAGAGTTACGCATAAAAACTTTGAAACTCTCGGATTTAATTTTTGAGTTTCATCGATTATCGATAACAAAATTTTCGTCGGCACTTCAATCAGTCTTTTTTGCTTGATTTACTTTTTGTTGTTCTAACTTAATTGAAGTAAACCGAAAATAATAATAATAATCAACGTATGCTTTTAAATAGCAGTAAGTTTTAATAATGCGCTATCAGAGGAGTTTGCATTGAAGGTGTTTTTCGACGCATCAAATTTCTCACAATTCGCTCAAAGGCTTAATGAAAGACTTGTGTTTTTAAACAGGTCCTACACCGTTCAAACATATATTTTATACCGGATTTGCTATCAAAATAGCGAAAATCAAAATGTCGAGATTCAAAATATCGAAATTCATCATTTCGCGATTTTTTTTGCAAAGGATTTGGTCTTTCGAGTATATTTTCCTAAAATTTGGACATACTGAATTTTTGACATTTCGAATTTCGACATTATGACATTTCAGACTGGTCTGTTGAATTTAAAGCCATTTTAAATCCCCACCTAGTTAGCGAATGGCACGCGGCGATAGCCTTGATGATTTCGGCATTGTTCGGCATTTCGCTCGGCACCAGCGCGGCCGTCTCCTCCCCGAATTCGGCGCGTTTTCTTGACTAAAAATAAAAAAACATTTATAAAAACTTTGCTGTTTTCCGCCCTGTAATAACAATTCTAATATTTAAACCCGCGCAACGCCGTTCTAAAGTTTGTTGCTTTTCGAAAACCCACTCAGGTTTAAGATTCCAGAAATTTACTCGCAAAGTAAAAATGTTTCGTGGTTCAGTGACTTTCCCGAAACTTAAGCCCGGGCAATGGGTTGCTGTCCCGCTCTCGTAATTTCCCTAGTTATCCTCACCAGATGGTTACAGTCGCTTCGCGACTGCAACCCATCTGACTCAAACACCTACATGTCCCACTCCCGACATCCTTCCCACCTCTATCAATATCTGATAGCCGAAACCCGTTCAAAAACTACCTAAATACCTTACCGGGCTTAAGATACCCCCATTGCTGAAATCCTTAAAAAACACCTAAATACCTTCCCGATGGCGATACCTCCCAATAAATCCCTTCAACAACTACCTAAATACTTCCTGATGGCTTCGATACCTCCTAGCAGAAATCCTTTAAAAAACAGAAAACGACCGGCCGGATGGAATGAGGAGAAAAAAAGAAATCCCCGTGAAATTTTCATCCACAAACGCGCGACCTGGCTCACTATGTCAAAAATCACCCCAACCTCCGTCCCCACCCTTTACTAGGAAAAGCTTCAAAGTTAATTTTAATAATTTAAACAAAACTTTTCGTAATTTTTTATCAGTGGGGGGTTTCTGTCCACGCTATCCGAATCGGGGAACTGGCTCAGCTCCTTCCCCTTCGAGTTGAATCCGGGACATGACTGGACGGACTGACGGACGGACGGACGGACACCACAGCAAAATTATTATAGTTGATTCCCAAATGTCTTTGCATAGGCCGGAAATTCGGCTTGGGATCTAGCCTCTCATGCAGAAATTTTCGCTGATGTCGAAAAATAGTATGTTTTACAAATTTGCAAAGAGCACGCTTTGAAATTTACACCAATTTTCGCAACAGTTGATAGATGATTGAAACAGTTTTTTGTAAAATTCCGGTAAAATACCTTTTGGGGGAGGGAGCAAAAGTGTTGGGTAGGAAAAGTGGCTCTGAACTGTTAGCGGGGGTATTTTTAGCAGGTGGTTTGCCACTCGCGGTTTTTTGCACCTCTTTATGACATTAATTTTATGTTTTTTATATCTGAGAACTATGTAAGATGCTAAAAAAAGGATTTGTATTAATAAAGTACGCGTAGCGCTACTTTTAGAGGCATAACCGAGGCGAAAAAGGCAAAAGGCATTGAAATTTCGGCAAAATGCCCTTTTGGACAAAATCAATCTCGACAAAATTAAAATCAGTCACTGATTTGAAAGAGGCACATTTTTCTATTCCAGGATATAATTTATGTTTATCCATAAATTATTATACAAGAATTTTCAGCAATGTAAAATCAATTTATTTTGAAACGCTTTTGTTTTTCGAAATAGAAGCATACATTGGATGGAGGATGGACGGGGCGTAGCGTCTGAAAATCGAGCCCATCCTCGGTGAGCGTGCCCGTCTTGTCGAAGCAGCACTAAAACTAAATAAGTAAAATGCTGTTAAACCGTTTTAATAATACCTCCTGATAATAATTAATAAAACAATTTTTTAGAAGGAGCAAATCAGGAAAGATAATGCCACGGTGTGTATCATTAGGCCGTAACGCACTGTTTCACGACCGGATGGTAGTAAAACAATTTTTTTGTAAACGGCAAATCTCAATTTTTTTGCTTTGGATTGTGTCACGTTACTTTAGTACAAAATTCAATTTAAAAAAGTAAAAGAAATTAAACTTTCCAAATAAGTGCCCCTTTCTGTAATATTTTATCAAAAATTTTAAATGCAGAATAATTATTTTTTTATGGCTACTGAACCAGTTGCATGGAATTATGCCAATATAAGGCAGCCGAGGTTTGGAATTTACGGAACAATTTTTCGAAATAATGTTTCAGATGTTTTTTATATGGTATCATTTTTCACGGCGTTTAGTGTCTTTTGGCGTATTCTTCTAAACCTGTTAATCCAATCTTATCCGCGACGGTGTGTGTGTGCCGCGAGGAGGGCTACTTAGCATAATTCCAAAATACAAATTTCCTCATATTGCATTGCACGCGCGGGTGTGGTCGGAGGAAGGAGGGTCTGAAGGACCCGCTATCGGAAAGTCAAATCTCATGCAAAGACGCATTCCAGCGCTCCAAGGCCCGCGAAGCTGGTTTTGGGCGCTGGTCTAATCCATAATTTAAGGAGATTCTTCTCGCCATTGTGTTGGCAAAACCAGAGGCTTGCCTGCGAACTGGTGAAACATCATTTTTTGGCGTATCGAATATTTCAAGGGGCTCAGACGTCACAATTCGTGCGTGCGGGGATTGAACCTACGGGTCAAAAACGAAAGGGTCACTGCTGAGAAGCGCTAAAAACGTGCACTGATTGCGAGAAAACGTAAAATGTTTGAGAAAAACCGAACTCTTCTTGGGGCAAAAACGAAATTTTGAGTGGGCGGCGATTACATGTCGTAATGCCCTGTTAGGCACCCAATCTCTCGATCTCCATGATTCTCTGATCAAGTTTCATAATTTGAAACCATGGAACCGTTTTCCTCATAATAAATGCTTCTTGAAAAAACGAGCCTCCTGACGGCGTGAAACGATCGATCACTCTTGCTTTCTTAGCAAAATTACAATTTCTGATATTTTCCCGATGGCTGACCACAGTTTTTTTAAGCCATTTAAGAAACGCAACTTTAATAGCGCGCAAACCCATTAAATCGAATTTTGGAAAAAGCGTAAATTTGCAAAATTGTGGTTGTAAATTATACTGTATTTAAGTTATAACGTAGTCCCTTACCGCATTAATAGCACCACAAGTATTGATCACCGACGGCGAAATGCAATAAATATCCTTCTTTCGCAACCGCCCATTCGCGTTGATGATTCCCACGGACATGGCAGCTGCAAAAATAATTTTTAAGTCAATTTTAATGGTTAATGATTGAATATTTATATAAGTTTTATTTTTTTACTATTTATGGTTCTCGTGGGATTATGACTGTTTTGAA